TTTCTTTCCTTCCTTCCTTCCTTCCTTCCTTCCTTCCTTCCTTCCTTCCTTCCTTTTTTTTTTTAGAAGTATGTATTTACTTTATTTGTTATTATTAATTTGCTAGGGGGCACATGTGCTTACCAGAGAGAGAGAGAGACAGAGAGAGGGGAAGTGAGAAAGCAAGCTGCCGGGTCTGGGACTCACGCTGTGGTCGGCCATGTGGGAGGCCAGTGCCTTAGCCACCGCGCCATCCGCTGGCCCGTCTGCTTGGTTTTTCACTGGGTTGCTTGTGTTTTCTTTCATTATCCCTTCTCTGTGGGGACATGTTTGGGGAGAGGCCCTGAATGAGGTGTGGGGACATGCTCCGAGCAAGTACCACCTGCCCGTTTGGGCTACGGCAGAACCTTGCAACGTGTCCTTTCCCTGACCCTCTGCAGGCAGAGCAAGGGGTGGAAACTGCTAGGGGCCTTCCCACGGACACATCTGATGGAAGTCAGGAAACATCCTGACCCCACCCAGCAAAGTCCAACCTCTGCTCTGCCTCTGTGGGACTCGTTAGCCTTCTCTGGGCGTGGTGGTGCTGCCCTATGGTGAGGTTCTTTAGCTTATGTTTCCTCCCCACCCCTGCAGCTAGGCTTCTCTCCATTAGAAAAGAAGATATTGAGATTTCCCCTTGATGGGATTATCACGAAGGGCTACACCTGGCCCAGTACTCTCAGCCCTTAGAAGTTTGCTACCTGCTTCTTATTGTCTAGTAACACACCAACGTATCTACAGGATGCCATGAAATACACACATGCAGGGTCGATTCGCCCTGTAAATAAAGACACCCAGTTTGTCCGGGCGGCACAAGTGGCTTGGGTTACCTAGGCTCAGGCTGCCAGTGTCCACTGCTACCCTGTCTGTCTGTCTGTCTCTCTCTTTGCTTCCTCCTTAGATAGAGCCGAGCCCAGGGGCAGACGCCGGCCCTTCTCCAGAGCCGTCTTCAGTAGGTTACGCCGTAGCAGGTGTCTTCTCCCTATTTGTAGCTTCCCTCTTACTTTTTTCTTTTTTTTTGGGAGAGGTTTTTGCTATAGGGTGCGTGCGCTCGCCAGACAGACAGAGAGACGGAGAGACAGAAAGTGAGAAATCACCCCCCCAGGGGGGATGGCCATGCTG